CCCCAAAACCCCAAAACCCCGTGTGTGATTTGTATTGATGAGTAAATTATGAAATTAAGAAATAATTATTCTTTTGGATTGAGAATAATCATGTTATTATCAACTATTTTTTCATCTGTAATTTATTTGCAGAGCCATTTCAGCTACATTTATAAGTTTATTAATATCCATGAACTCGATACCCCAGAGACCGCCAGTAATATCAAATTCGTCAGGCACGCTGTTTTTCTTTAGAAATTAATGGAAATCACTGTTAAATTTCCTTGACTCATTTTGATTTTATTGATGATTATTATTGTTATTGTTATTACTTTCAGTATATTTGTTAGTAGTCCCCATTGATTATTTTTATTAGGAGAAAGTTTTGTTTTTTAATCTTTCAAATAAATCTTTTTCCTTTGCATCAAATCTTGAATTATGAAATGCTTGCCAAGCTTCTTAAGTGTTCTAAAGACTCATTGGTTGCTATGGGTAGTTAGATTCTTAAGATTGAATATTAATGCCATCGTTTGGTTATTAACTTGATTATCTTTCATTATTTGTTTAATTAATGAAGTTACTTCCTTGATTATTGGTTTGATTGGTATTAGGATTACTCTATATCCTCATATTTCTGAAGTATATTTAATTTATTTTGAAATTACGCATCTTCTTTTCCTCTTAATCTTCACTGCTTATCTTTTTGTGGCTTGATTAAGTATGTATCTTGGTAAATTACTTGAATTCTTCTTGAGTAGAAAGTCTCTCATTCAAGTCACCTAGAGGTCCTTCAAATGGTGGAGATTAGTTTCCTTAGCCTGTGATTGCTTAATACTGGTTATTATTATTATTTCCGTTAAGAATCTTATACAACTGCATTAAATCTTCTTGATCATCGTCTATGTTATTCAACTAAGGCATATTGGATTTAGATTCTATTTCTGATAATTTTTATTCTCTTAGAGACTATTGATCCTACTAGAATTTTAAGTTTTTTTTAAGATCAGCCATATATTCATTGACAATATCATATGACTTCTCTATTTCTTCAATCATCATCAAATTTTTCTGATGAATATTGAGTGTATTTTATTTTATTGCTTGATTAGGTAATAAACCATTGTTGGGATACTTTTATGAAGAACTTCGTATATGCTGATTAATTTGAGAATTTCTTATTACTTGGTTCAAAGATTAAGGAGGATATTAAACATCTTGATTTTCGTTATAATGAGAGGTGCGAAATGGGTCATGTTACCTCGGGCTTGGAAATTTGGTTTCTGATATCTTTTAATTAATCTTACTATTTGTTAAAGGACTCTTTATAGCAGGACTATCAGAAACTATTAGTGTACTTGTTACTTTATTTTTAGATTGAGGACTTACTGGAGCTTGCAAATGATCATTTTAAAACACCTAATTTTGTGATTATCCGCTACTTCCTATGTTTTGTAAATTGTTACTTGAACCTCTTCTTGGAGAATTCTATACTGTGGGAAGTTTATTTTTTGATAGAGGTGAAACAGGTATAATCAATCTAGGAGATTGCTAAGTTTCAACAATGTCAACTAAAGGTAATCTGACCTCATGATCCATGACGATAGGGGAATGAGACTCGAATTTCTTCATCATTATATGAGAAAATTCTTATGAATTCAATAGATTGTCATCTGGATCATTGTACAAATTTTATTCAATTTTTATTTATTCATCTTCTTTCTTCTTACTTTGTTTATTTAGAACTAAAGGTAGCTACTCCTCTAAATGTTTTATGATTTCTCTTTGCTCTTTGATATTTTGATTTTGAACTTCAATTTTCTTAAGAGATTTCGTTAGATCCACTTACAACAAGTATTTAGAATCGATCAAATTTTTTAGTTGTTTTTTCGAGTATTTATTTCCTTATTCTTAAATTTACCCCAAAACCCCAAAACCCCGTGTGTGATTTGTATTGATGAGTAAATTATGAAATTAAGAAATAATTATTCTTTTGGATTGAGAATAATCATGTTAATATCAACTATTTTTTCATCTGTAATTTATTTGCAGAGCCATTTCAGCTACATTTATAAGCTTATTAATATCCATGAACTCGATACCCCAGAGACCGCCAGTAATATCAAATTCGTCAGGCACGCTGTTTTTCTTTAGAAATTAATGGAAATCACTGTTAAATTTCCTTGACTCATTTTGATTTTATTGATGATTATTATTGTTATTGTTATTACTTTCAGTATATTTGTTAGTAGTCCCCATTGATTATTTTTATTAGGAGAAAGTTTTGTTTTTTAATCTTTCAAATAAATCTTTTTCCTTTGCATCAAATCTTGAATTATGAAATGCTTGCCAAGCTTCTTAAGTGTTCTAAAGACTCATTGGTTGCTATGGGTAGTTAGATTCTTAAGATTGAATATTAATGCCATCGTTTGGTTATTAACTTGATTATCTTTCATTATTTGTTTAATTAATGAAATTACTTCCTTGATTATTGGTTTGATTGGTATTAGGATTACTCTATATCCTCATATTTCTGAAGTATATTTAATTTATTTTGAAATTACGCATCTTCTTTTCCTCTTAATCTTCACTGCTTATCTTTTTGTGGCTTGATTAAGTATGTATCTTGGTAAATTACTTGAATTCTTCTTGAGTAGAAAGTCTCTCATTCAAGTCACCTAGAGGTCCTTCAAATGGTGGAGATTAGTTTCCTTAGCCTGTGATTGCTTAATACTGGTTATTATTATTATTTCCGTTAAGAATCTTATACAACTGCATTAAATCTTCTTGATCATCATCTATGGCATTCAACTAAGGCATATTGGATTTAGATTCTATTTCTGATAATTTTTATTCTCTTAAAGACTATTGATCCTACTAGAATTTTAAGTTTTTTTTAAGATCAGCCATATATTCATTGACAATATCATATGACTTCTCTATTTCTTCAATCATCATCAAATTTTTCTGATGAATATTGAGTGTATTTTATTTTATTGCTTGATTAGGTAATAAACCATTGTTGGGATACTTTTATGAAGAACTTCGTATATGCTGATTAATTTGAGAATTTCTTATTACTTGGTTCAAAGATTAAGGAGGATATTAAACATCTTGATTTTCGTTATAATGAGAGGTGCGAAATGGGTCATGTTACCTCGGGCTTGGAAATTTGGTTTCTGATATCTTTTAATTAATTTTACTATTTGTTAATGGACTCTTTATAGCAGGACTATCAGAAACTATTAGTGTACTTGTTACTTTATTTTTAGATTGAGGACTTACTGGAGCTTGCAAATGATCATTGTAATACACCTAATTTGGTGTTTATCCACTGCTTCTTATGTTTTGTAAATTGTTGCTTGAATCTATTCTAGGAGAATTTTATACTGTGGGAAGTCTATTTTTTGCTAGAGGGGAAACAGGTATAATTAATCTAGGAGATTGCTAAGTTTCAGCAATGTCAACTAAAGGTAACCTGACTTCATGATCCATGACAATAGGGGAATGAGATTCGAATTTCCTCATCATTATATGAGAGAATTCTTATGAATTTAAAAGATTGTCATCCGGATCGTAGTCCTTATTTTATTCAATTTTCATTTATTCATCTTCTTTTTTCTTACTTTGTTTATTAAGAACTAGAGGTAGCTATTCCTCTAGACTTTTTATGATTTCTCTTTGTTCTTTGATATTTTGATTTTGAACTTCGATTTTCTTAAGAGATTTTGTTAGATCCACTTACAATAAGTATTTAGAATCGATCAAATGTTTTAGTTGCTTTTTCGAGTATTTATTTCCTTATTCTTAAATTTACTTTACCTATTTCTAAATCTCTCTAAATTTAATCTCAGATAATAACTTTATCTGTTTCTCTCTGGCCTTAGCCTCTTCATCAGCATTTTCATACAAGGAATATGTCTTTGCTAAATCAGAGTAATATACAGAAGATGTTTGCTTATCTTAAATTTTACCAGTATTAGATTGATTTTATTTTTACATTCTTTCAATATTGACCTCAGTTTTCTAAATTTTTCTGTCTAATTCTTCTTTGTATTATGTTAGCTTAAAATAATTCCTCTGCTACTTCTCTATTTAATTTATATGTTCCTCATAGATATAATCTTTTGCGTCAGATTTAATGAGTGCCCTAGCATTTCGTTCCAATTGTTTTTATCTATTAATCCTCTCACCATCTTTTAATCTTATCTGTTCATCTAGGTCTCTTATTTCATTCTTTAGTCTACTCTCTGTCTAATCTTCCTCTAGATACTTAATAGTATTCTTGAAAGCTAAGTACTAATCCTCTAAATCGATTAATGTTTTCTCATAGTAAAATAAATTTTTGAATTGATCCCAATCTTTCTCTCTATAGGGACTTTTACTATGTCTCCTTGATTCCTCTAGACTTCTATTAGACTTTACTTTTTCTCGTTACTCATGCATTTATAATCTTAATTTAGCTCTCTTTATCTTATCTTCAAGTATTTTATTTTTGTTTTCTTACAGAATTATTTGCTTTATATGAACTCTAGCTTCTTAAAGTTCTTTCTGCTCGGCCTAATAATCAAATTAAGGTCTTAGTTTCTATTTCTTTAATTTTATTTTGAGCTGTCTTGCCTCTGCTTTTGGTCTAATAAACAGATCTCTAATTTAAGGTAAATTGTCTTTATCAGGTGCTGCCTTGGAGTAATCTTTGAATACTTCTCCTTATTTATTATCTTTAATTAGATCTATCTGCTAATAGCCTAGCTTTAGCTGATGCTAGTCAGGCAGATAATTGATGTTTTCAAGATCAATATTGTAGTATTCATCTTCTAGATCATCTGTTGATCCATCCTAACTCTCCAAGTTTATCTAGGATTCCTTTAAAGTCATTGATCTATTATCTAATGACTATACCATTCTTGACTGTTAATTTTAATCGAAATTGATCTTGGTCTTCAGAAACTTGGTAATATCTGGCAGTTTCCACAGATCTATTCACCCTTTTTTCAATTTTGACTCTGATGTCTGATTCAAATAAATGTCACCAAGAGAATTACCTAGACTATCAATGTAATGATCTGGATGGATGGTATCAGCCTTATTAAAAGTTTCTCGCAGCATTGAAATAGCTGCCTCCTTTTTCTTTTTCAAGTATTTTTCCTTCTGTATCGCTAATAATCTTTGATTTTATATTTTTACTGGTTTCTTTATCTTTAAGGCTAATTACTTTTACTACTTAGGTTACTATTCTGAATTTGATTAAGCTAAATGTTTTTCCAAGTTAATCTCTCCTTCTTGGTTTTGTAAAGGTTATAAATTCTGCTGTTCTTTTTCTAATTATGCCTGCTTTTCTTTTATTTGAGGTGGAGTTTATGTATTGAAAATAGTAGGAGGCTAAATTCTAGAGTCAAGTTTATACGAAAGACTGTTAGTCGGCATTGCTTATGGGGTTATAGAAAACTGAAAGTTAGAGTGGAAAGATTTTATCAAATTAGAGTCATAAATGCTTTGATCTATGATAGAAGGAGTAAACTGCATAGATGATTTAGAGAGTAAAAACTCAGTTAAACTATTTCCTTCTCCCTTATCAATCTTGAGTGTAGATTACGACATCGTTTACCCCAAATTGGCATAGTTCTTCTTGTTATTAGCTCAAATTCGTTAGAGATGACTAGGTCCAAGAAGTGGCTTGAGTTTATTAATGGATGGTAAATTTGTTGATTTGACTGTCTCTATTAATCTTGAGCGAGCTTATTAATCTTTCTCCATAAAAATATTATATTCTATTTCTTTATTTTATATATTTCTTGAATTTCAATTTGTATCGAGGGGTTTTGGGGTTTTGGGG